ATATTTTTTTGTTTGTATTTACTATTGTTATGAGGCTCATCATTAATTCACCTATTTTTTTTATTGACAAGGTATATGATCGCCCAACCCGGTTGCGATGGACATCGAATGAATGACGTGTCCTTTCGACAGCTGACTAAAATTGAGGCGTGCATCAATTTCTGGTACAAAACAAATCACATTGTCATCTCTACAATATTAATCTGTGTGCCTGAGGTCGCCGGAGGTCATTTACGGCTAGTTCGGGCGCAGACGCTGGCTGTTCGTAGGACAAAAGTACATTGTAATCTCCCCTGTAATTTTTCGCGCTATCTAACGGAGCACCCATGGGCCTGGACGATGCAACTGAATTACGACTCGGTGATCGAATCAACTACTAGATCTCCTCTGGATCCAACTGGTTTAACAAACGAACGTCGATTGAAAAGACGTAAGCACTTTTTGCTGTCCAGCCCTGCCACCGGACAGGACTTTGTACTATTAGTAACAAGGCCTATCTACTAGCTTCTATCGATCAATTATATGTTTCATTAAGAACTGTGAAGTTCGTACCGATCAATTGATTGCCCGAGCGTGGTTAGTGGTTAGATGATAGGCTGCTACTAGAGCTTCCACCGTAACAACGTTAGAAAAGCAGGACTGCTCTTGAGGTAAACCGAAACGCCACGATCTAACCTTTTTATCCCATTCATCGTTCTGGAGGGCCTTAATTGATTTGACATGCTTTTGCGTATGCTAAAAATATTTAATAACTACTATCTATGGTTTAGTAGCTCTGTATCGTAAAATGAAATATTTGTTTAGATGAACGGTACACCAAAGGGGAAGCAGGAGGGATTCTAGATAAGATAGCAGACATATGAATGCATCATTAAGCTCCAACGACAGTCGCATTCGGGTCCCTTTGTTTACCCATGGCAATCTTGGTGTACATAGAATAAACGTGATAATATTCTCTTTAGTTTGAAAGAAGTCAGATCACTTAATAACCGAGCCCTTTTAAATGGCTTTTTAGTAAGAGCAGTACCTTGACGATCACTCGCTTCTCTAGGTCTCATAAAGGAAGTGATGACGCTGCCAATACTGTTGCCGCTTTAAGCCAATCGATCCGCCGCTAAAGAAACCAGATGACAGAGGTTCGAGGTACTTGCAGCCATCATGAAGTGCCATTTTCGCTAACGCGCCAGGGTACGTCAGAGCAAATTCCTTTCGTCGATGGGGAATTACGAGGAGAAAACTACTAGGCAACAATTAGACACGTTACTCCATAGGATGTTTGAAGTACCTTCTTATTTTAGGCTCACGTTTAGGCCACCGTTAATATCATGATGCCAGACGAGCCGCTACCGGCTCTATTCAAGTACGAGATGCGGCGGCAATTTTGAGCGATAGGGCCGGATCGGTTATCGTGGCAAGTACTTCGGCCACTAAGAAAAGGTCCAACGCCTGATGGCATCCGTGTCTGATCAGCTCATCTTCACTGATAACAACAACGTCATTTTGCGGTCGGATATGAATCGTTATAATTGACACGCCCGATAACGATATATTCTTCTCTATTGCGCTAGTGTGCGTCCACTCTGCTCTACTTCTACACATGTATATGCTCCGCACCCCTTCGGGGTGCCGCTTTGCCCCTTTCGCTCAGTGACGAAAAACACATGTCTCAGAATGCCAAACAGTTAGATAGGAAAACGGCGACACAATGAGATGGTATGGATTCGAAACCGAAAATCGGTTTGTGATGTCGGAAAGAATCTGCAGCCATATGAACCGGTAACGTTTAACTGAGGCGACACCGAAATCGGGCTATCCTATTTCATAGTTCACAATAATATACTAGGATTAATGTCCTGTTGATGCTGCGATGATAACGCGTTTACTCACCAAACTCAGGATCACGTGATAATTGTGTGGGTTGAAATGTGGACGGAAATAGCCATTGTTTCAATGCTGCAGGACGATACCGGCTGTGAGACCCGAGATATTAGTTTTTATTAAATTCAGTCAATCATAATACGTACAATAGAGCTTAGAAGTGATAGCCAGTTTAGGGGCGCGCATGGGGGATATTCATTAACTGGGTAACTTGTGCAAAATTTGATTGACGAACCTGCAATTTTAGCAGAATCGAAGTTACCATAAAAGAAAGAGAACGATAAAAAAAAGACACCTAACGTTTAAATTATCATAGCGTACTCACAATTATTACTCACGGCAATTGCTTCTACATAACTATACAATTAATGTTGTATTCATATGTTAAAAAAAGGTTTCGAATGAATTAGATGGATTGGTTAATTTTTGAGAGAGAGAAAAGTTCGGACTAATGCTAAGTTTTTTGCTGCTCGATCAAACATTTAACTAGGTAACGTGAACTTGTATAAGTGAGAACTAGAACATAAATTATAGCAGACTCGCTGACCTGGGACTCCAAAATAATTACCATACGCTTTAAATGCCTGCCATATTTAGGAAAAGGTTGGATAGAAGGCAGTTTTGTCTTGAGTCCGCACTTGTAAATTGATAGCGTTATTAGCCGTGGTTCGCTTTAAGAGGCCGAGCCAAAAAGATGTTCAGGAGTTAATATGCTACGAGTGTTTCTCCACCCAAATTAGCGCCAGTGAGGCAGTGTAGGTTCGAAACCTGGCGTAGACACACTTTGTTTTGTACTAAAAGGCCAGCCGCTACGTGAAACAATGCTTAACTATCCGGCATGGAGGCCTGAAAACTCTATTTAGCTAAAGAAATTTTCTGAACGCCTGAAAAAAATGTTTATCTGTGTCAGTTGGACCGGTCTGTAGGTAGGAAGGAAAGGCAAGATCGAAGTTAATTAGGACGAGGCCATCAAAAAAAGCCCTTGCAAGAAATAAAGATACTACTTTTGGAGTCACACAACCATGATTGAATGTCAAGCTTTTAGAAGCCTTAACTAAACTAGGTAGATGATTTAACGCTGTTGGAACCGCATACGCGTGAAAAATTGCAGCACTTGATCCCCCAAAGACTACTTCCAATTTTCAAATAAATTCAAACTTATTCTTATTAGGAAGCAAAGGGATCAAAGTAAGCGGATTTCTAATTTACAATATATGAGCTTGTTTATATATTGGTGACGTGGACAGTATTTGTACGTAACGATGATTGTGAAAACTACATTGAATTTCACTGTTACCCAGTACTTTACGGACAATTTTCTGCACAGTTTTTATATTAAAAAAAAAAAAAAAAAAAAAAAAAAAACATATTTCGTTTTCTTTAATTCATAACTTTATCCCAGAAATGAATAGAGTGTAATATATTAGTAAATCGATGTTGCTTATTGAACATGTTAGGGTCTGTCTTTTTTTGTCACAGTTAAGATATAGACTGAGAAGATTCTTAAAGGTAACTAGCTCTAGTAAGTCGGCATTTATACGAGACAGATTGGTGCTTGAGTAGCAAGCGACTCTATCGGTCATGTAGATAGTTACTAATGTTGACACGTTATTTGCTCATCAAAGGTCGTCACACAGCGTAACTATATTGTCTATATTGAATTTTGTGCATAGTCACATCTTTCTAAAAAAAAGATGACCCCAACGTTCCACAACAAGCGGATGCTATGCCCTTGAACAATCGTCGAACCCAGCTATAGTATGGGGGTGAGGCGAACTATCAATTGTCAAACAAAGTGTTGTGTTTTTTCAAACACATTTTACCTGGCCCAATTCTGAACCATTCTACTAAACACTGCTTCATTGTTCATCACAGAACGTTCTCTTGATCATTATACGAAGGTTGACTTATATTATTAACACCAGTAAGAAATGTTTACAATTGTCTGTAAGTTGATAATATACGAAGTCGAACTAACTTTTACCGTTTCTATGACATCATAAAATTCAACATAACATCAAGCCTCTTGCAGACAACTTTATAATACGTTTTATCAATTATCTAATTCATTTTTAAATAAATAATTTTGCGAAAAACGTTATTTTTGAGTATAACGCTCGAGGTTTTTAAGGAATAGCAATACGAGATCACATGTTATGTTATCGACGTTCTCACATGGGTTTTTGTTGCAGGTTGACAGCGAACGGAACAGTATATTAAAGATCTCAATAAGCTCTTTTAATAATTTCCTATAACGGTGAAAAGTGGCAAATATGAAGTTCGACAGGGCAAGCACATGCTATTATAGAAAGCAAACTTGTGTGCAGTCTTGTCCCTGAGTCCTAGCTGACTTAAGTCTTCAGTGCACAACAATGATATCACCACGAGCTTCATTACTTTCACTATCTAATCGATATTGATGACCGATGTAAGGTATTTATCGTTATTATATCTAAAGCGGGCTAGTAACTGTTACTGCGTCTTTAGGATTAGTATACTATTCCACTCTACCCAAATATTGTATGTTCCATCTGAAACCCATAAAGACTCCTTCCGTATGCCTAATACGGTTTCCGTTGTGAGTGCAATAGCTGTTTTGGGCTCAACTGGGTCTGCTGTAAAACTATGATTAGGAACTTCGCTGACCAGATTGATTTTTTTTACATAAAATGGTTATTGTGTTCAGGGTACAGATACGCGGCTTGTCCGTCAAAAATTTTCTTCTTTCAAATATTTTCATACACCATACTTTTCCATAGATAGGCTTCATTAATATATTAATTAAAGGTAACAACGATAAAAAATAGGTATTACAAGGACCGTTCCTACTTGAAATAATAAGTACAAAAAAAACACTAACCCTAGTATCATACCAGTAAACAATGACTTTTCTACCAATATGACGAACACGGACCTTCTGACACGGAAAAATTTTGAATACATACCTGTAATCGCCCGTGTACCCAGTTAAAATCACAACCCCATCGAAATCTTTCCTTTGACGTCCTGCTAAGACTCACTATTTTCAAAATCCACCCCACCATATTATTATGCAGTGTTAAATACGGATGCGCCTGATATTTTATAATAGATGCATTTACTGTGTATTCATTATTACTTACCTTTAACGCTAATAAAAAAATTTATTGTGATAAAATGTTTTCGGTAGGTTCACAGACACAAGCACAAATTCAGCAATGTTTGTTTCACTGTTTAAAAAAAGCACAAAAAATCACCACCCATAGCGAATCAACCGATTGTTGCTGATGTCCTCTTGATATCCTAGGCTTTTGAGGTATTGAAAAAACAACATTGGTCAACCAGAACAACTTGAGATTATGTGGATATATTTGTTATTTTTGCTTGAATATCCGTCTTTGTTTGTTTGTTTTATGTACTATATCACGCATTCGTTAGTAACACTCCGATACCATAAAACAACAATGAGAGATTCGAAGACTTCCACTCTAACAGCTACCTTCAATTGTCTGATCTGGCGGCACCGTGCCAGATTTACCGTGTTGGCAATGCCACTTCACTGTCTCCCGCTCCGGTCACTAATACTATAATTACTATTACCCACAACTCTTTGAAAACCTACCGTCGACGCGGCAAAAAAAAACCATGCGTTTATAATAGGTAAACTCGTCCATATTGACAACACTTCGACAGTCTGCTTTGTCTCAGTTGCTGAGAACAGTTTACGGTAATCCGTTGCAATGCTTCCAGACTTGCAAAAGTTTAAGTCTTCACAGGCACCACTACCTCTTAACACTTGGGTAGTCCATCGGTTCGCCCATTATGCTTTGAGAAGCGCGGGATATAGTTTTGAAAGGACAACAGCCTACTGGCTAAGGACTCCACATTATTTTAGCGGTAGTAGTATAACGCATACGAATTGAATGAATTGAACTATTCTCTATGCGTTCCCGTTTGTGTGGTTCTGTACATGATCTTCAATAAAGGATGGTTTCATTTATGCCACGCTGTATACTCCCTGTACACGCCCTCTTCGACCACTACGTGTCGCTAACGCCTGCTAACGTTATCACGAAGTGACAGTACGTCAACATTGCCTGAAAATAGAGAAGGGAGGCCGGTTCACATAACTCACATAGGTCAGCAGACAAGCGATAGGCGCTCGACTTAGATCCTGTAGCATTTATACTGCATCTACTCAGCGGTCCTATCGGACCTCGAGGTCCTAGTCTGAGTACGGACCACGCGGTCGTGTCCTTTCCATCACAGTAGAGAGGGTCGAGTGGGCCCTCTCTTCCAGTCAGTGGTGGTCGCTTTCAAGTGAATGGCGATCACTAGCTAATGTAAGTATGCTATCGAGATGCTACCGCACCAGCCAGCATGGCTAGCCGTATAAATATTAAGCTTCTTGTCGATAGTTGGATCGCTTGCTGGGAGAAAGTATTGCCCACTAAGGACCATGCATAGATTCCTATATATGCACAATTTAACTGACGTGGGATGCACGAAATATTAGGGGGCTAAATACCGAATAAGATAAATACGCGAGGCGTAACGCTCATTACACGGCTGTCTGCGCCAAATAAGAAATTGAAATTGTTCGTGTTGAGAGTTTAAAGGATCATAGGTACATCCATTGAGAATCTGTCCGATGCAATATAACTTAAAGGCTTCTCCCGTCAAAGTGTACATTATAAAAAATAGCACCGTTTAGGTAAGATAGGTCGACTGTGATATAATTTAACAAAACTGTAGAATATATACGATAATAAGAATACATATATAAAGACGTATACAACAATATTTCTAGGTCAAATAAGGTTCTTCGGTATTCTCGACCAGGATTAGCCATGTCATTGGGACATATAAGCTGGCGACAACTAAATATGAATTATGGGTGCACAGTAATCTTACACGTAATAAGTAACTGGCATTCAGCGGGAAGCCGTTTATATGTTAACAACATGTTTAAAACCTAAACCTTAAAAAGGAAACCTAGCCAAAATGTACAATATTTCCTGTCAATTTCCTGTTCAGTGTATTTATTGCCAGTGATCACTAGTGACTCTCAGCTATTGATCGCGGCGGACGAGAAAAACTAGTCGTTATCATTAGCTCAATGTATAATCATCAAGCTAAACTCAACTAGGAGCCAACTCGCTAAGGTGTTTAAGGATCTACTAGCTACTCCTGAGCATTTTGCCGGAATTCGAAAGCCCTTCCCCGTATCTAGTAAGGGGGGTTTACCATTTAAATAGATTCTGATGATTCTGATGATCGTAATTTGTATATTCTTCGCCATATAATGTTCCAATGCACTAAAAAGGCCAAATCTTGCTTGGAATACTGCATGTCGACGAATCTAGTAAAAAGCATATATATTTAAACGAGACGAATGGTGATCGAATGTTACCAGTGAACTTCAGTAATTTCGAAAATCAGGCAAGCTTTCTTTCTTTAAACTTGTACCTACAAGACTAGGGTATTTGGTTATATTATGTTTGGTCGGTCTTTTCTTTATCTTTTCCGTTTAATTGTTTAAATAACTGAAATCCACGTATTAGCCTGTCCCTTAAACTAGTTAGCACTAACTTCCAGGAAACTCCGCATCCTCTTAACGCAATCGGCGCGAAGATACGATCACAGATAGCAAACGGTGTTTTTATTATCTTCTCTCTAATAGTTTCTGTTTTCTGTGTATTCTGGTGTTCCCTCGTCCGTGGGTCTGGTATACTCTTTAAGTAATGTCTCCTGCTTACCGTTGAACACGGCAACAAAGAGATGCTCCGCTTCCCTCTTGAATGGCCCCACCAGATAGACACTTGACGGGTACGAGATAAAGCTTTCATGTGGACGAACCACAAGGAGTCCTCTTTATACCTTCTTCCTGATGCGGCACTATCTCCCCGGGTTTAGATCTTCAATCTGAGAAGCATGACCTGTAATCAGAATATAGAAGATTATGAATTCTACTGCTGTGAAAGTAGGCAAGGGCATTAGCAAAGGCTGCATTCGGTGGCCTGTTTGACGAGGTGATAGCGTCTGCGCCGGCTACCAAATATAGTAGAAAGAAGTTAACAATTGCTGGGCAAAGGGTCAGGAACGTTTCAATTTATGTGATATTGACGTACAACCGGTGTAGTCGAAGGACGCTAAGCTGGCGTAGTATTTGCATGTGGAAGCAGATCTAAGTACCTTAGATGTATCTGTGCGAAGTCGATGGGAAGCTGGTGGTAGTGATTATGATTACAAGCATCCAAAGACGGATGTCATCATTCTCATGAAGCAAAATAGGACATCCGAATAGTGGGGGCCTGGCTGGAGAGGTGCACACTAGCTTAGACAATGCATTCGTTGAGAATGACGCGCTGGCCTACTGCGGAAATAGTTGCTACTGCACTTCGAAACAAAGCTGAGACGTCACACGATATTGAAAAGGATTAGAAGGAATGGATAGCTCTTCTAGAAGAAAAGTAAAGAATATAATAATGGTTTTGATTGGTTAAATGTCTACTATAGAGGTACGCATTGGATAACAACTGTTGATTTGCGTATGTACATTGTGTTAATTCGTTGATCGTTCAAACAGCCGCGGATGACACTTTCTGCTAATTCAAAAAAGGTGCCTTCGTAGGGCAAATGTGTCTCTGACTAAGAAGATTAGATTGCCTCAGATAAACTCACATTAGTCCCACATGATATTATGACCTGATCTAAGATTCCTTAGTGCAGAACGTAGGTTTTGCATTTTTTATATGAAGCAGTGATCAATTTACCAACTGCAGAAGCTTTTTGCGCAAACTCTATCGTTAATTAATAAAAACTTTCGTTCATAGACGTTGTAAAGTACTTTTCCATGGTGGAGTTTGAGTCAAAATATAGTATTATATATAACGCAATTGCGCAATTAAAAGAATCGAGACATTTGAGGACTATTTCCATCTGAACTTCCAAGTCATACTCACGTTCATATATTTAGCTGTTTGTCGGCATTTAAAGGATCAAATAAGCAGCGAGAAACTCGTTAACGAGATGTTCGCCTGATGGAGTAGGACGTAACATTTCTGATTTGCATAACACACTTCACGAATCCCCATGGGATCGGCCGTGAAGTCACGCGGACTGAAGCATCTTAACGAGTGCAAAGAGAAACAAATGACCAAGCAATTCGATAGTGCTGAAGGCATCTCTTTTGCGAGGGACCGCGCTTTTCCTACAATGATAAGCCTGGTAGGGTAATGAGTGGGTAGACATCCATAGAGACGCAGAAAAGGTGGACATAATTTAGATTACTAAAACTCCTTCGGCTTTTACTGCCGCAAGCTTCTGATTCTTCGGTTAGTGTAGTTGTTGTTTTCACGTATTTTCTAATTACGATATCGTTTTGCAGTCAATAATAATAATACTTTCGTTTATATTAAATCATAGATAATAATAATTATTATTATATAGCAAGAGGCAGAAAATGACGATGTTATCGGCTGCATAAAGACTAAGCTGGGACGAACTTCCTTAGAGCTGATAACAGCTTCAAACTACGATACCAATTAAACGCCACTAATTTCGTATTTTTTTTTTAGATAACTATTTCATTTAGACATCTCTGACACAAGACGAAAATCTAAATGCAGCGTTCCCAACGTCTGCGCACTCACATAGTTCTTGAAAACCTATAAAGTAAAAATAATGTAATAGAGTAAAAAATACTGATCATTATTTCTAGCTTTGTTCACATAAAGATCTGAATAAATATCGAAGAAATACGTTGTTTTAATGGTAAGCACGTTTGCGTAACATCAAGTAAAACAGCTTGCCCATCTGGACCGGCTCGGTTAGGGCATCCGATGTCCTTAAAATAGGCCAGCCGTCCCCGATTCAAGTCGCTTTACCTGGAATGGTATTTATTTTGTGACAAGTGTGATTTAATGCAGCGAAAACTTAATTCTCACCATCATTATTACAAGTATATTTCACCCGAACGTAACTACCCACTAGTATATCAATTTAATATGGCTCTTCTATCTGACAAGTACTAAAATGGATAAAAATTATTTTTGGCTAGTTTTCCATCAACTGTTAATTGAGGCGTCGTACGTTGTTTATTGACAATCAAATTCCCGCTGTTTTCGCGTCTGGAAAATCAATACGGTGCATATTTATGCCAATACACGTTACCCAAAGGTCAGCTTCATCGATTTCTGAGCGCAAATGCCCAAATCAAGGTAGGTCCACAATTAGATTGGGGCAAAAAAACAATTATAGATTATGGGTACACATCTAACGGTGTCTACGTATACCAAACTATCGTTATGTATCATGCATCACGTCTGTAGCTAACCTAACCTAGCTCACGTTGATCTAGTACGACATTAATAACAACAGTGCCAACTAAAAACTAAGAAATGGCAATAAATGAATTTGAATGAACGAACGTCACCTAGAGCGGGAATAATTACCATTCGATTTAGTCTCTCGTTGAGATTCAATGTCCATTCCGACATCCTTACCTGAACCCCAGCCGTCACTTCCACGCACCCCTATGGTGGGTTCTTGCCAGACTCACAATAACGCTAAGCAGAGCATCTCCATCTAGACTCGATGAAACTATCATTTCCTCAAATCTGTTTGTACTATACACCAGACAAATAGATCTGTAAATACGGGAACACTGTGCGCGGGTAGAAGAATTACTACATGGTACGTGGGACGTTTGGCTAGACCAGGTGCAGGCCAGGTGGAAGAAGGGGTTCTGCTTGTTATTAGCTCGTGCTCATAGGTGCTGCTGGGAAGTACGGCAAGAGCACTGAACGGTGAATATTTTTGGAAGCGGTAAAAAGTTGTATCTTGGAAAGAGGTTAGAGTCACGTGCTAGCAAACAGCGTGACGGGTCAAAATTTGCGCTGTAAACAAGATGCAGGAGGACCAAGTGTGGCAAGCAGGCAAACAGAGCAGTTGATGACTGCCAAGGCAACCTGTATTGTATATACATATATGATGTTTGGCAATTTCTAACGGCCCGCACATTATTTTTGACGAGTTTTCGCAAAGGCTCCCGTTAGGTTGTCTAACTTCGATTGAAGAGCGTTGGGAGGACGATAAGCAGGATATCTGGAAAATGGCTGTATGCATGAAGAAGCATAGGCTTAGG